GGAGGCCGCGCACCTGGCCGACCCGCTCGGGCGCGCCCTTCCCGGGAACGAGCGCGCCTCGGGGATGCGGGACAGGAGGGGGCGGTGCGGCCTCGGACTGGGGCTGAGGCCCGGCCTCCTCTCTCGCCCCCGAGGGTGGGGCCCAGGAGACCCTCACCGCCGCCCCGACGACCTCCCGCGTTTCCCCCGCGCGCCGCCCTCGACTCTGCTGCGCCCAGGGCGGGTCCCCACAGTGGCACCGCGGCTGGGGAGAGGCTGCCCTGAGCTTGGACGTTAGGGGCCCCGGACCAGACACTCTCCGCCCCCCTACCTTGCTCTTGTTTTTTAATTTCAATTTACACTCTCTGAAATCGCGGTACTTTTTACTTTTGTTCATTGATTGTCTTTTCCACTAGAATGTAAGCTGCAAGAGGGCAAGGCTTGGACTCCAATTCATCGTGTTTTCCCACTGCCTACAAAAGTGCTTGAGACATAGTAAGTGCTCTCCATAAATATTTGTTGAATAAATATGAAAAAAAGGAGTGCATCGAGGGGGTAATCAGAGAAGGCTTCCTGAAGGAGGTGACATTGAGCCGAGGCCTTACAGACATGGAGGAAGCATCTCTGAACATCTGGAGGGAAAGTGGGTTCAGGCCCTAGTAATTGCCAAGGCAGACCAACTTTAGCACAGCTGGGGCTGGGTGACCAAGGGGATAAGGAAATAAGGTGAGAGAGGTGGACGGGGCAGATCACAGAAGGCCTGGCAGGGCCTGGCACGGAGCTGGGATTTCTCAGTGTGTTTTCAGAAGAGGAGGTGAATATGTGATTTGCCTTTTGGAAAGATCAGTCTGGAAGAAGTGTAGACAGTGGATCATGGCGGGGGGGAGGGGATCAGTAAGGAGGACGTGGAGGTCCTAGAGCCATGACTCACACCCAAGTGATATCCCCCGCTACATGGCACAGTGCTGGCACAGAAGAGCTGGACGTTCTGTCTCTGAGTGTTGATGGAATGGAATGAAGTCCCATGAAGCCCCAGACCTGAAACTCCAGCTCCCCCCAGCGTGGATGTGGGTAGAACCCTCCCTCACTCGGCTCTCGCAGCAACCCTTCCCCAGCACAGGTCAGAGCTGGCAAGGCACTTCCTCGTAGCAGCTCTCAGGAACTACTACCTCCCCACTGCTCTCCTACCCCATGAGGAAAACAGAAATGTGTCATCCCAAGCCCCCTGCAGGGAAGGACTTACTGTGCGAGCCACGAGGAGTGCTGTAAGCAGAGAGCCCTCCGCCCTCAGCCCCTTGAGGGCCAGGCTTTGCTGCAGAGAGCCTTCTCGCACAAGGTCACACCCAGGGAGGGAGGTCCACATCCCAATGCCTATTGAGACAGGAGACTGAAAGTCTGGAGTCTCTGCTGATTGGCTCTTTTGGTCCTAGGACTCCCAGAGGGGCCAGTCAAATGTGTCATGGGTTCCTCCCGTGGGTGCTCCCTCAGTCCACTCCTGCTTCCTTCCCATCCCTTGCACAGGGGTGTTAATCTCAAGGAAACTTCCTTATAAACATCCTGAACGCTCAGCTCCGTCTCAGGGTCCATGACAAGCACAGCATCTAAGTGGGAGGCTCTGTGGGGTAGTGTGCAAAGAGCACACCCTTAGCGGATCCTGTCACTGGACAGATACCCCCAGAGCACCTGCCGTGTGCCAGACATGGCGCTGGGTGTGAACTGGTGCTCTAACTGGAGAGGCCGGGGGAGCAACAGCAGAGGCTGCTCTAGGAGTAGGAGGGAGGGTGGTGGAGCTCTGGAAAGCCCCCGGGGAAAGTGATGTCCCCTGACAGATGGGTAAGTGGAAGTTAGGCCAATCTGTGAAGCGGGGCTTGGAGGAGGGTCTCCAGCAGCACACACAGCATGTGCCAAAGCCTGGAGGAAGGGCTCTGGTCGTGGGAAACAGGTGACAGCATCTCAGACCTGGGTTTTCCACCTGCCTCTGTCAGGATCTGTGACCCTGGGTGGAGTAAACTGACTGCGTGCTGCTTCTCTCATCAGGAGGGCCCTGTGACTTGCTTTGACCATAGAATGCGGTGGAAATGATGCTGGCCCTGTTCCAGACTGGCCCCAAGGAGGCCGGGCAGCTTTCTGCGTCTGCTTTCTTGGAGTTCTGGAGCACCCTGGAGAGCGTAGATCAAAGCCCAGCCAGCCCCCAACCATTCCAGCCCCCAAGCCATCTCAGATTTGGCAATGGATCTGCTCCAGCAGGCGCCACCACAGAATGAGTTTGAGCCCTGCCACCGGGCCCTGCCCAAAATGCAGACTTGATGCCCAAAATGCAGACTTGAGAGCCCGTGCTCTTCGGCCACCATTAATTCCTATCCTAAGGCCCTGCATTCCTTTCTGGGAACAAGGTTGGGCAAATGTGCTGGGATCCAGATGTGTGTCAGCTCCTGAGTAGTAGCCCAGGGCCCCCCAGAGTCCTCAAAGGACCACACCCTCTTGGCCATGCCACAGGGGTGTCCAGCTGCTCTTCGAGGAGGTCACCATGAAGAATCCGGGGCCTGATGCCCGGGGGGATGGTTTCCACGAATGAACAGGAGTTTAAGGATGGCCAAAGTAGGCGGGGAGGTATCCTAGCCAGAGGGAAAAGTCTGTATAATTATGTTTATCCCGGTATTGTTTATAATGGTAAAAATTGGAGACAAACGAAATGTCCCATCAGTAGGAGGCTAGATACATCATCTGCGGCCTGTTCACATGATGGAATTCTCTACAAGCTTGAAAATGAATTAGAGCTCCATGGATGATGCTCACAAGCATACGGTAAGGCAAAGAGAAACAAGATGTAGATTACATATTGTATAGTATGCTTTATCAGGGTTAGCGACATGCAGAATAACACTAGCTATCGTACAGGAGTCTACCTATGTGGCTGGGAAGTGATAAATATAATTCTCAGAGCAAAGCTTACCTCTGGGGAGGAGGGCTCACGTAGGGGCTCACACAGGGGCCTTCAACTGTAGGCCATTACCATAAGTGGCCATTAGAACATTCTTTATATATTCTGGCAGTTGGAAATATTTCACTAATAGATTCATTTTTTTAAAAGATTTTATTTATTTAGTTGAGAGAGAGAGAGAGCATGAGCAGGGGGAGGGGTAGAGGGAGAAGCAGACTCCCTGCTGAGGAGGGAGCAGAGCCCGATGCCGCATGCCAGGCTCGATCCCAGGACCCTGAGATCATGACCTGAGCTGAAAGCAGACACTTAACCAACTGAGCCACCCAGGCGCCCCTCGTTCATAGATTTATTTCTGAGTACATGCAAAGGCCAGAAGCACTGGCAGCCCAGGGTGTGGCATAGGAGAGAAGAAAAGGATCATGTTTGCCCTGCGCCAGAGTTCAAGTTTCACATGCCTTGCCTTGAGAGGACAGAGCCCCTTCTAAAACAACTAGAAAAGGCAGGCATGGATGCTCCCAGGTATTTGCAGGTAGCAAGCAGCTCGCCATCTGCCCAGACCCCGTGACCTTTGCCTGGACAGGCTGTGCCCCATGCCCCGATGTCAGCCACTTAGGGCCCACACACAGAGGGGGGACTGCTGGTTTGCGGGGGAGGTGGGGAGGCATCTATACCCGCTCTCCACGTCTTGGGAGCGCAGGGCTAGTGCACTCAACAATGTCTGAGGCTAAAAAGCCATTGATCTTCCTGACTGGGGCTCCCTGAAGGGGAGAAGAACTGAGACCCCCAACTGTGATTTTGGGAATACCTACTCTGGGCTGGACACTTTCCACAGTAGCCCTGGGAGGGAGGGGCTGTGAGCCCTTTTGCAGATGGGGAAGGAGAGGCTTCAACAGAGTAAGGGAGCCGCTCGAGTGTGTAAGGCCACACGATGGAAGGAAAAGACCAAAGGGCCAAGAGGAGGTGCGGACTGCGGTGCCTGCCTATCCACCCCTCCCTGGAGAGACACCTCATCTGCCCCTTGGCAATTTTCCTGGCAGGTTCCCCTAGGTAGGGTGCCTCTGCAGAGCCCATGGGCAGGCATTTGCTCCTGGGGAGAGCCTCTCCTGTGGGTGCTGTTATGCCGACAGGCTAAACACAGAGCCTCACTGCTGTGCACACGGCCCAGACAGGAAAATGGGATGGACCTGGGACTGGCAGGAGGGAGCCCCCCTAGCCCTGGTCCCTGGCCTGCATGGCCCTGACTCCCACTGAGGGGTGGGGTGGGGGGAAATAGGGAGGAAGCTCCCACCTGCTGAGCGCTGCTATTAATTTAATTCACCAATCCCCACTACACCTCTGTAAGGAGGGGAAACAGACTCCAAAGGCTGCAGTGACTAACCTAAGGCAAGGTGACAGAGATTCAAGATTTGAACCCAGGCCATCTGATTCTGGTCCCCTGTACTCAGTGCCCTGTTTGGCACAACCCCGTGACCCTCAGCCTAGGCCAGGGTCTGGGAGGGGCAGCTGTGCACAGGGTTCTAGCCCAACCCAGGTCACACCCAACATGCACCCAACAGCTGGGGAAGGCTAGGATGTCTGAGGCCCTTGGGAGCAGATGGCCCTACTGGGAAGGCAATGATCTTCCTTGAGTCTGTGCCCCCATCAGGCTCTGGAATCTCCCAGGCAGGGGCCATGTCCTCCTCCAAAATGCATGCCCTGCACCTGACACAGGGTCATCACAGAGGGGCTACTTAGGAGCCGCAGGATTAATCTGATTGACATAAACTGCCGTGAGACACCCTGGTGGATGCTTCCAATAGGAAACGCACTAGTGTGGTCTATTACATAAGTAACTAATCTTCTAGGAATAACATAGAAATGCA